CCCTTGCATCATACTTTGTGCTGTGTCACAGCTTGATGTCTTTGCTTGTGCGTTCCGCAGTGGCTTAACCCACTGTCTCCGCGTCTTGGTACTCTGACTGCCTGGGAATAAAAGTCAATATTGAGCCCTATTTGCGCTACAGGGGGGTGGGGGGGGGAGATGTACGAGGGAACTTTATTTTATGAAAAATGTGAACGGGCCAGTCGCCTTTTGATAACCAAGTGTTAATTTGTAGAATGATAGAATTCTAGATGGTCCCAGCCCAGGAAAGGCCCAGCCAGGACTCTTGATTTTTAGAATTCTTAGATTTGTAAGACTTCAATTTTAAAGCAATTCTACATCGGACCCCGAAATTTAAAGTTTTTAGAGTTATTGAATTCTAGATGGTCCCAGCCCTGGAGGGGCCCAGCAAGGACCCTTGATTCATAGAATCGATTGAATGTTTAAAATTGAATTCAAAAACCGGACAACATTTGGATTTTTTAATTTCTTAGAATCCTAGATGTTCCCAGCCCAGGGGAGGCCCACCAAGACCCTTGATTTTTAGAGTTTTAGAATTGTTAAAACTCAATTCTTAAAATTCTAAAATTTGAATTTTTTTGGGGTCCGGTTTTTTAGAATTTCCAGAATGTTAAGAATTCAATGTTAAAAGCTCAAAAATTCTATCAACAGTCTATAATCAAGGGTCCTGGCTGGGCCCCTCCTGGGCTGGGACCATCTAGAATTCTGAGCTTTTGGAACTCAATTCGAGAATTCAATTCTAAAAGTTCTAAAAGTTCTAAATATTCTACGAATCGGACATCTAGAATTCTACAGGTTCAAAAAGAACTAAATTTTGGTGAATTCTAAACCATCTAAAAAATCAAGGGTCCTGGCTGGCCCCCCCTGGGCTGAGACCATCTATTGAAGAATATGTGAGAGTTCAATTCTATAGTTTCAAAATCAAAAAACACTAAAGATTCTGTACGTTCCCGGGCTGGGACGCGAAAGGCACGTCGCCCCAAAGAGGTGGGAAAGAGTGAGGAAGGGATGGGAAGGTGGAGGACATGCCTCTCACTAGATCGTAAAAGGGGTAGGAAGAGAATTAGCTGGAAAGGGTGGGTGAAGGCAATTCCTTCCTTCCTGACACTTTCACGCTACTCCTTTCTCTTCTCCACGCCTTTACGCCCAACCAAAAGTAGCTGTGTTGGATAGAGGATTGGGAGAGGAAGGATGGAGAGTCAGGGATAGAGATGAATGCTGGACCAGGTTTTACAAGGCTTCTCTCCTTTTTCGTCCATCATTCTCGTCATCCACATCCTTTCGTCCAATTGACTGATGTAGGCAAGAAATGGAAAGGTCATAATAAGGCCAGCAATTAGCAATGAAAGTGAGGTGATGGGATTGGAAAGGGACGGTGTGCCAGGGGCAATTTTTCTCTCTCGACGAGAAGGGGCGAGAAATAGGAAATGGAGATTCCTCAGCCCGTCCTTCCTATCTTCGTGGTAGGCATTTCCTGTCTATAGAATCTCCAGACCCCATTATAAATGGATTACTGTGCAGAGATTGGAAGGGTCTATAATCTACACGCTGTCATGTCTCCACTTTGCTCCATTGATAAGACTTCTGAATTCCATGACAACAATAATCGCAAGGAAAGAGAAACAGCAAGAGCTAAGAGATACAATTAAACATGAGATGCGCTACAAAAGGTTGTAAAAAACGTTGAATTGGAATTAGTTTCTGGGTTGACCTGACCGTGCAAATCTGTGCGACGCTGCTACCCCTTTTTTGCGCAGATCAAGTGGCAACTAGCAAGTGCTGAGAAAAAAGCTGGTTCACAGTACGCGCATTGTTCCCTGCCACGGGGGGGGGGGGGAGATGGTACCGTTCTTGTTCATTGAAAACGCATTTCATGAGTTCTGTGCAATCATGGTGACTCTACGGAACGGCGTTGTTCGCTGACTGATTAAAAGGCTCGTCTTCTTGCTGCTTTTCGCATGTTGGGACTAAGATCCGTGGATGTGGTCCATTTTCGTTCCTTCCAGAGAGAAAATCACAATTTCTTGTTGACTCAAATCGCCATGGAATTGACCACATCCACCAATCTTGGTCCCGACGCAAGGCATATAGGACTTCCGCACGAGCTAGTTTGAACATAGCATCAAAGCCAAAGCTAAGTGCAAAATCGAAGTTGGGGCGTCATGTTACACAGGGTCTAAGCCATGATATGTCATACACGCATCTGAAGTTATTGAAAACGTCGGGCAGCCGGAAACCGTGATGTTCTCTTCTGTTTTATTGTTGTAATGTGTCCATGTTCATTTTGCATTCTCATACGGCCGTTCTCACTAACATTAACCTTGTTCATATGACTGTGAAGTGTGAAGCATCTCTGTGAGAGTATCGGCTCACAATGTGACAATACCTGCTACGCAGCTTCCATCTCGCATCTCACCTGCAAATCCCCTTCGTCTGTCAGCTCACAAACCCTGGCCAACACCAGACAAACACCTTCCACTCTAATTTCTCAGAGCGAAATCGCGAAATCTGTGCTGCACAACACCTACTAAGAAACATGCAACAAGGGTCGGAGTGAAGTTTCATGTTCTAAGAACTCAATTGTCAAACGTCCATGCGCTGAGCTATCAACTGCACTTGGCGCACGCAATTCCAAAATATCTACTAGAGGCGCACAACCAAACAGAAATGACTGAAAGCAGACGTTTCTCGGCGCTTCAAAGCGCTTTCGGATCTAACATTCAAGATTCCCAGGACTATGGTTCTTGAATGTACTTGGCCCCAAAACGCTTTCAAGCGCTTTCATCCAGGTAGTTCTTGAATCCAGATCTCGTTGGTCCAGCCAATGGCGCGGCAAGATGTTTGTCTCTTTCTCCCTCCTTCCCTCCTTCCCTCCTTCCCTCCTTCCCTCCTTCCCTCCTTCCCTCCTTCCCTCCTTCCCTCCTTCCCTCCTTCCCTCCTTCCCTCCTTCCCTCCTTCCCTCCTTCCCGCCTTCCCTCCTTCCCTCCTTCCCTCCTTCCCGCCTTCCCTCCTTCCCTCCTTCCCTCCTTCCCTCCCCCCTCCACATGTGGTTCCGGGTTTGGGGGCGCCGCCAGCAACAGCACTGCCAAGAACCAATTGTGCCCGAGAATGAAAACGCTTCACATCGCTTTAAAGCGTTTTAGGTAAATCAAGGTACAAACAAGATGCGCAAACGCAGGAACGGTTAGGTGGTCAAAATTGGGTCAACACTGGGGGTGCCTGACAGGGGGGAGGGGGAATCACCCAAAAGCACTGCGCATACCGTCAAATTATCTTGGTGTGTGTGCGTGTGTTTTTCCTGGTTCTTCCGTTCAAGTCGTTGCGTTCTGCACAGCTCAACTGCATAGGGAAAGTAGACAAATAAATGCATAGAGGCATGCGTAGGGAAAGTGCACAGTGAATTGCGTAGGGCAAGTACAGAGTGAAACGCAGGCATGTGTAATTAGGGCAAGTACTGAGGTAAGTGCATAGATGCATGCATAGGGAAAGTAGATGCTGAAGTGAAACGTATAGACGCAAAGAAATTGTATAGTAAAATGCCTCGAGGCGTCCGTAGGGCAAGTACAGAGTGAAGTGCGTAGATGCATGCGCAAGGAAAGTAGACATATGCGTAGAGGCATGCGCAGGGAAAGTAGACGGTGAAATGCATAGAGGCACGCGCAAGGAAGCTAGAGAGTGAAACGCATAGAGGCATGCGCAGGGAAAATAAACAGTGTGATGCAAAGAGGCATGCGCAGAGAACGTAGACCGTGAAATGCACAGAGGCATCGCGCGAGCATAATTTGCACGAGGAAACTTGTGTGCTTTCTTAAATTTTTAGGATCCTAAGGCGGGACCAAGCGCACTCCGCAAAAATGCGAACCTCTTGTGTTTTTGCGACTTTCAACATGCCCGCGTGACCCTCTGCGCGGATCGGCGTGGTCACAGCGAACTGCAAAGAGGAACACGCAGAGTAAACAGTGAAAAACAGAGAGGCACAAGCACAGAGTGAAGTGCATAGAGGCATGCGCACAGTAGACTGTGAACTGCATAGTTGGAAAGAATGGACCTATTCAGGAAGCGTGTCATGGAAAATGCTTTC